ATTTCACCATGTTGGCCAGGCCAGTCTCGAACTCCTGAACTGAGGTTATCCGCCCGCCTTGGCCTTCCAAAGTGCTGGGATCACAGACATGAGCTACCACTCCCGGCCCAGATACTTTAAATTAAATAAATATAAAAGGCAAGGTTCTGGATTAACATGTATGATACCTTCAAACATTTTGTCAAACTAACAAGTATAATGAGACTGTCTAGTTGCTCCTAATTTCACTGAACAAAGTAGGGGGAAAATTAGCTCAGGGATTCAAACACCCAGCTCATGTGCTACATTCATGACCTGAAAAGCTATAGTTTTGAGTGGATCCCAAAACAAGAGAAGCTTCTGCAACAGGTTCAGGCTGCAACATAAATTTCTCTGTCTCTATGGTCACATGATTCTGCAAGAACCAATGATGCAGCCAGGTGTGGTGGCTCATGCCTGCAATCCCAGCACTCTGGGAGGCTGAGGCAGGTAGATCACTTGAGGTCAGGAGTTCAAGACCAGCCTAGTCAATGTGGTGAAACCCTGCCTCTACTAAAAATACAAAAATTAGCTGAGCATGGTGGCACACCCCTGTAATCCCAGCTACTCAGGAGGCTGAGGCATGAGAATTGCTTGAACCTGGGAGACAGAGGCTGCAGTGAGCCAGGATCATGCCACTGCACTACAGCCTGGGAAACAGAGTAAGACCCTGTCTCAAAAAAAAAAAAAAAAAACACACAATAATGCTTGAAGTGTCAGTAGCAGACAGTAATGTTTTTAGGAGCTCTTTGCAGGCCCTCATTGGTAAGTTGCAGCATAGGCCTTTAGGATATTGGCGCAAAGCCCTGGCATCCTCTGTAATTAACTACTCTCCTTTTGAGAAACAGCTGTTGGCCTGCTACTGGGCATTAATGGAGACTAAAAGCTTAACCACAGGACACCAAGTTACCACGTAACCTGAGCTGCCCTTCATGAACTGGGTGTTATCTTACCCGCCCAGCTGTAAAGTTAAGCCCACACAGCCAGAACATGATCTGAAGACATAATTAAGTTACATGAAGAAGTGGCTCAAATGTCCATGGCCCCCACTCCTGCTACACTGCTTTCTCTATCTCAGCTGCCCCTGTGGCTCATGGGGCGTTCCCTTCAATCAGATAATGGAAAAAGAGAAGACTCAGGCCTGGTTTACAGATGGTTCTACGTAATATGCACATATCACCCAGAAGTGGACAACTGCTGCACTACAGAGCCTTTCTGAAGACCTCCCTGAAGAACAGCAGCGAAGACAAATCCTCCCAGTGGGCAGAGCTGGGGACAGTGTTCCTGGTTGTTTATTTTGTTTGGAAGGACATATGGCCAGACACACAATTATATACCAATTTACAGGCTGTGGCCAATGGTTTGGCTGGTCAGGAATGTAGAAGGAGCATGATTGGAAAATTGGTGACAAGGAAGCCTTGGGAAGAGATAGATGGACCTATAGATAGACCTCTCTAAATCAATCGGGGAAAAAAAAAAAAAAAGGTAAAGACATTTGTGGCCATGTGAATGGCCACTCAGCAGAGGAGGATTGTATGACCAAGTGGACAGGATGACCTGTTTCATACATACAGTCAGGCTCATTTTTCTGTCATTGCCCAATGGGATTATGAACAAAATGGCCATGATGGCAGGGATGAAGGTTACGCATGGGTTTGGCCACATGAACTCCCATTCACCAAGGCCAACCTAGCTATGGCCACCACTGAGTGCCCAATCTACCCTCAGCAGAGACCAACGCTGAGTCTCCACTATGGTACCATTCCCCATGGTGATCAGCTAGCTACCTGGTGGCAGGCTAATTACATCGAATCCCCTCCATTATGGAAGGGTCAGTGTTTTGTCTTTAATAGAACAGACCCTTACTCTGGATACAGATTTGCTTACGCTGCATGCAATGCTTCTGTCAAAAGCTCCCTCTGTAAAATCACAAAATGCCTTATGCACTGTCATAGTATTCCAGACAACATTACTTCCGACCAAGGAACTCACTTCATAGCAAAGGAAATGCAGCAATGGGCCCATGCTCATGGAATTCGGTGGTCTTACCATGTTCCCCACCATCCTAAGGCAGATGATTTCACAGAATGGTGGAAAGGCCTTTTGAAGATTCAGTTACAGTACCAGCTATTTGGTAATACCTTACAGGACTGGGGTAAGGCTTTTCAGGAGGCTGTATACTGTCTGGGTCAGTATCCAATATATTGCTGTTTCTCCCATAGTCAGGGTTGACAAGGCTAGAAACCAAAAGATAGAAATGGGAGTGGCAGCCCTCCACAATTATCCCTAGTTGACCATCTAGCAAAATTTGTGTTTCCTATCGCCATGACTTCATACTCTTCTGGTCTGGCAGTCTTAGTTCCAACAGCAGGAATACTTCCATCAGTAGAAACAGCAGTGATTGGACTAAACTAGAAGTTAAGACTGCCATCTAGGCTGGGCACAGTGGTTCACACCTGTAATCCCAGCACTTCAGGAGGCCGAGGCAGGTGGATCATGAGGTCAGGAGTTCAAGACTGGCCTGGACAAGATGGTGAAACCCCGTCTCTACTAAAAATACAAAAATTAACCAGGCACGGCGGCAGGCACCTGTAGTCCCAACTACTGGGGAGGCTAAGGCAGAAGAATTGCTTGAACCCCAGGCAGCAGAGGATGCAGTGAGCCGAGATTGCGCCACTGCACTCCAGCCTGGGTGACAGAGTGAGATTCTGTCTCAAAAAAAAAAAAAGACTGCTGTCTAATCTAACCCTTTTAGGCTTCTCATGCCTTTGAATCAACAGAGAAGGGAACTCTGTTGTGCTGGCTAGTGCTACTCATCCTGATTACCAAGGGGAAACCGGACTTCTGCTTCATAAGGGAAGTAAGGAAGAATATATGTGAAGTACAAGGGATTCCTTAGGGTATTTTTTTTTTTTTTTGAGATGGAGTCTCGCTCTGTTGCCCAGGCTGGAGTGCAGTGGCGTGACCTCAGCTCAGTGCAATCTCTGCCTCCGGGGTTCAAGTAATTCTCCTGCCTCAGCCTCCCGAGTAGCTGGGATTACAGGCGTGAGCCACCACACCCAGCTAATTTTTGTATTTTTAGTGGAGACAGGTTTCACCATGTTGGTCAGGCTGGTCTCGAACTCCTGACCTCGTGATCTGCCCAGCTCGGCCTCCCAAAGTGCTGGGATTACAGGCATGAGTCACCACGCCCGGCGTCCCTTAGGATATTTTAGGATTAACCAAGCTCTGTGACTAAAGCCCATGGAAAACGCTAACAACCAAATTCAGGCAGGACTACGACTGGCCTAGACCCTTCAAAAATTGAAGGTTTGGGTCACCCCACCAGGTAAATAATCACAACCAGCTGCAGTACTTGCTGAGGACAATGGGAATACATGATGAATAGTAGACAGAGGTAATTACAAATATGAGCTGTGACTACCTG